GAGAGAGAGAGAGAAAGACAAAGAGGTCAGGGGCGCGAAGAGGCGCAGGGGGAGGAAGGAGACACGGGAGGGGGTGGCAAAGGGCAGCCTGGCCCTGCTGGAGAAACAGACAGAGTGGAGCAGCATCTTCCCCAGAGGGTGGGAAGCCCCTCCCCGCCCTGGCTGCGTCTCACCTGAGTGTCTCCACGCGGTCTTTGCTTTCGGGCTCATGCAGGTTCCTCAAAAAACAGAGCAGGAGACAAGCCATCAGCACCCTCCAGTTAGCAGTTCCTGCCCCTGATTTCTTCCTTTTCCCCCAAGCCGTGGGGAGGGGGGCCTTGAGGTGTTGGAAGGTGCACCGAGGTGGGGTGGTGGGGTGGGGACTGAGGTGTGGTGGGGACCGGGGCCAAGCTGGCAGGCCCTCAGCATGCTCCTCTCGGTTCGGCATGCTGGGATCGGCCAACGCAGCAGTTGGGGGGACAGGCTACGCGATCGGCCTTGAGCCCCGTTAGCGGGGCGCAAGCACCGTCCCCCCCCGGTCTGTCCCCGCGAGCAGAAGCCACGGACAAGCAAGGAAGAAAGGAGGAAGAGGAGGAGATGGAGCTACTTGGAGTGGCTGAACAGGCTGAGCCATGGAACAAGGGAACCCCTGATTTGGAGCCCAGGTCCGCCCTGAACCCTTCGGGTGGCCTTCAAGAGAGCGCACCAGGATCGTGGCCAATCTCTCCTTAGAGGAGGTTTGCGCAGCCCCCAAGGTGGCTGCTGAACTCTCTTTTTTTGTTTCGTTTTCTGCACAACAGAAGTGGAAAACGACTGCGTTCGTGGGAAGCTACCACACCAAATGTCTTTTATTTAATCAAAGCTATCTCGTTTCGTTTTGGTCCTCATCCTGCCCACTCTGGGGAATGCTCCCCCACCCCCAGCGTGACTCCGAGGCCAAGTGTGCTGGGAAAAGATTGAGGACCCCTGCTTTACAGGGCTGTTATGCTTTGGAGTATTCAACTTAGGCAGTTAAGCAAGAAAACAGACGTTCACGCTCCAAAGCAGTCCCCCAAGCGACATCTTATTGGAAGGCTGATGTTTCAGAAGCACTCTTGTGACTCAGTCCTGCTCTGCTCCTAACTCTTCTCCCCATCAGTCTTGAAAATACGGCCTTTCCCTCTACATGTCACCTTCGTGAAGCACTCTTGTTGCACACCCTTTGCGAAGGTAAAGAGAGACAATGCAAGAGCGTTTCTGCCGTTGGCTCACAGCTTGAGCATCCACCTGCCAAGACAATTAATGGCTTAGTGCTGCCACAGCCAGCCAATTTCTCTCAGCAGAGAGAGATGCGCGTGTGTGTGGGGGGAATCTTGTACTTTCCCCCCCTTTTTTGCATACATACATGTATCCACACATCCATACTCTCTGTTCTGCCCCTGGTGGGTCTGTCCCCAAGAGAATGGCTCTGGATCAATTTTGTAGGTCAGCCCTGTTGCTTTACCAGACTGGGTTCCTGAAGATTGAATGGCGAGGCAGATTCATTTTCTTTGGAAAGTGCAAAGTGCTGTCGGGAAGCAGATATTGCTCAAGCAAATGCTGGGCGTTTGAAGAAGCAATTCTGCCTTTGCTGTTATTCTCTGTTTAAATAGGCGTTAATCCTAGTGGATGAACCCGGCTTGATTCCATTTATTTAAGTCAAAAGCTGGCATCTTGCAGCCCGAACACGCTTTGATAACAGTCTCGGAAGCTCACTTTGACCGCTGAAATCTGACAGCACAGTTTCCTCCTAGTTTGAGGAAACATATGGAAACTACAGCATAAACCCTAACATATGTGTGGCACGCCATATATAATACACCAGAACTCCCTCCTGAAAAAAAAAAGAAGCAAACCCCAAAATCGTAAGGGGAAAAAACCCGGAAAAAGCCCCTACTGTCATGAATTGCATTAAAATAATAATAATAAATCCTCCCCTAGCCCCCATTTCTTCTTTCCTGAAACTTCACACTGGCTTAGCTGAGGAGGCAGGTGCATAGAACTACGCACCTCCTCATCACGGGCTATTTACTCTTGGCTCAGGAGGGAACCTCTAGCACCAGGCTGTGAGAAGATAAAACCAGAAATGCTCTTATTTCCCACCACTTTCACAGCAGCTGAAATGTTCAGAAATCCTAGACCTGGGAGGGGAGTCAGAATGACGACACCCCTTTCTCCGCCCCCAAATACCTTCCTTTCTTCTTCAGCTCCTCCCTTGGAGGGCACGTGCTACTCACGGGTGGGGCGGACAGAAAGGACCCCAAAGAAATCCCTTATCATCAGCAAAAAGAAAGAAAGAAAGAAAG